GGGGGGAGGAAGACAGCTCAGTGTTTTGAGCATTGGCCTGCTAAACCCAGGATTGTGAGTTCAATCCTTGAGGGGGCCAGTTAAGGATCTGGGGCAAATCTGTCAGGGATGGTATTTGGTCCTGCTGTGAAGGCAGGGGACTGGACTTGATGACCTCTTGAAGTCCCTTCCAGTTCTACGAGATAGGTATATCCCCCCCCGAAAAAAGCTGCTCTTCTTTCATATATCCCCTTGCCGAAGGGCATAACAAACCTCGGGCGCGCGCGCACGCGCACACGCTCACACACACCAGTAGTGGAATGTGCATATGGACAACTACTCTAAGGTGAGCCTCAATATTCCAGTAATCCTCTTTTTCATTCATAATGATAAAAAACCCTCAAAGTTTTTTTAATAAAGAGTTAAACAACTGCTAGATATTAGTTTTATCATGCTGTAAAGCACATCAACCAATGGAAAACTGCTTCAGTGGAACCAGGGGCCATTTTCTTGCGAAACTAACTGAAATAATAAGTCTGTTCATATGCACTATTGGCTCTTAATAGTGTAAAAGAAGAGTCTGTGATTAACATACACTCAACTATAAACATACTTACCTACAAAGACTGTTAGGCTGTGGCAAATGGGTACTAAACCGAACTTCCCCAGTCATCTCTTCAAAAGCAAAGATGTGCTTTGAATCCTTTTTCTTGATTTTTTCATGCCTATAAAATAAAAATAAAATTCTCTGAACAGACTGACTTAACATACTTATTTTATTTAGTCTAGTTCATACAGTGACATTCCCACAAAAAGATCAGCTCTATCAAACCCAGGCACCCTCCCAAAGTAAATGTCTTACCAGGTAAATGGCTGTAGATTATGTAAAAATGGTCTAAATCCAGCAATACACTCGAATACCATTGTTCCAAAGCTCCAATAATCTACAGTAACAGTGTAGGACTTACTCTCAAAGAGTTCTGGGGCCTAAAAAACAACAACATGCTACTTTTAAAGTGGCAGAACTCCAAAGAATGTATTTTTTCTATTTCTGAAAAATATACAATTTGAGGAATACATGCAAGTAGAACTGTGCTGATTTATGCCTAAGTAAATTGTAAGCATGAAAAAAAACACTTACCAAATATTGTAAGGTCCCAACAAATGATGTACATAAACTTCCCTGATCCAGATCCTTGGCATAGCCCAAGTCTATTATTTTGTGAATTATCTGTCAATAACCAAGGCAAATGTATGATAAAACGTGATAAAAAGAGAAAATTTAAAGTAAGAGGTACAGAGTCAAACCCAGGGATGGGCGACCATGGGTAGGGGGAACGAGTCCAAAAATATGAAAATGCTACACAGAGCTGTTCAGCCATGTACACCAAGCTCATTCATTTACAGCAACATGCATATCCAATACATTATTATCCTGAATCTAGTTGGATTCGATTCAATTGAACACACCATCTAAACTTTTGAGGATTTACAAGATGTAATTATTTTGATGACATCAAGTAAACAGAAATAGTGAAACAAGAAAAAATGTATCCAACTGAGAACAAGGATAATCTTGACTGTCTATGCACACCTGTCCTCCCCCGCCCCCAGAAATCCAAAACATATACCAGAATACAATAGGCATCACAGGGTTAA